ACTGTTTTTTTTTTTTTTTGTGCTGTCATGGAAACTAGGGCCCCTGAATTCTAAGCATGCTCTCTAACATTGAGTACACAGGTCTGCAGTGACATTTAGAGGAAGTCCCTAAGGGTCATGACAGACTTTGAATGCCTCTCTATGGTGCTTATTGTCCAAAACTCTGCTCTGGCTGGGGATGTGTAGCTCAGCGATTGTTTGCCTATCATGAATGATGCCCTGGGTTCCATCCCCAGTGAAAGAGGGAAAGAAGGGAGGGAGGGGGAGAGAGAGAGAGAGAGAGAGAGAGAGAGAGAGAGAAAGTGGAAAGAAAGAAAGACCACCCCCCAGACAAAACTATGTTCTGGACCTTACCAAGACACTGCACAAGCAAATCCACAGACATACACAAAAAACACACACCCCCCCCAAGCATGCATGTCCATAAACTCAAACATACACAGACATGCATGTGAATCGCTCCACAAACACATACACCCCCCTGAACTCATGTGCACACCCAAACACAGAAACACGCACATACACCCCACAAACACAAATTCACACATACAGACCCCCCACCCCCTAAAGAAATGAGAGTCCTGCAGAGACACACCTCCCTGTTTAGACCCACAGCTGTCCCTCCTGCTGCTCAGGCCCTCAGAGCTCCCCTCCCCCAGCCTGTCCTCACAGGCCAGTGCCCTCAGGCCTGGAGGGAATCGAAACCCACCCTGACCAGAAGTGAAACGGCTTGGGAGGTTTTCTGGTGCCTCTGACACAGCTGTTGGACACCAAACAAACAGCTTCAGTTTCTGGGGTTGCTCTAGGTGGTGGGCTGAGTGGGGAGGCTGCTGGGAAATGGGGCCCTGGCTGTGTTTCCCTGGAGCCCTCTGCCAGGCCCTTGGTGCTGGGAGAGTGCCAAGGGGATCAGCTCTCTCCACAGCCGGATTGTGAGGAAGGCTGTGGGCTCAAGGACTGTCCTCACGGCTGCAGGTGCACACAGCCCCCTCCTTCTCAGTCTGCAAACTGACAGCTGTCTAGAATTCTTGGGCGCCCTCTTAGAGTGTTAGAAGAAAAATCTTGTGGTCAGATGATAAGGCAGGTACAGCAATGAGTGTAGACAGGGATCCTTTTTCCTCATAGCTGACCAGGCTGGTCTTGACAATATTTGACATAACAAAGTCCACAGATGCTGGGACACAAATGCTTTTGGCGTCCACCATGGAGATTCTGAAACTTGGTGGCTTCTGTTATGTGTCGCTAGGGAGAGAAGGACTGTTAAATGAGGATGCAGTGGGGAGCAGGCAGGATGGTGATGTGATGTCACCACCCTCTTGCCCTGGAGAGTTCAGTTTGCAGGCAAGCACTGTGGTCTCAAAAGAGATGAGATTGAGCTGGTGGAGTGGCTCAAGTGGTAGAGTGCCTGCCTAGCATGCATGAGGCCCTGAGTTCAAGTCCCAGTACCGCCAACAAAAACACAAAGAAGAGATGAGATTGAAGAGATTCTTCAAAAGTCCAACTCTCCAAAAAAGGGGAGGTAAGAAAATAATAAGCTGAATAGGGTCAAAGTACATTGTATGGATATATGGAAAAACCACGATGAAACACTTGGACAATTGAAACAAGAACAAAGCCCAACTCTCAGGTTGGGGTACAGCACTTGCCGAGCTTATGCAGACCCTGGGTTGTTCAATCACCACCAGGGCCAAAAACAAACTCCAACTTTAGCCACAAATAAACCCCAACTTTAGCCAGGCACCAGTGGTTCATTCCTGTAATCCTAGCTACTCAGGAAGTAGAGATCAGGAGGATTGTGGTTTGAAGCCAGCCTGGACAAGTAGTTCGAGAGACCCTATCTCAAAAAAAAACCATCATAAGAAAAGGGTTGGGGAGTGGCTCAAGGTGTAGGCCCTGAGTTCAAACCCCAATGCTGAAAAACTTTGATGGGAGTGGGGGTAATGGCTCCCACTATAACTGTGAGACTAATCTCTTCTTAAAATTCCCTTTTGGCATCTGATATCCCATAGAGATACTGAATGCTAGAGCTGGAACCTCCACGGAACTGACCTCAGTGACTATTGAACTTGCCATTTTTATATCTGCCTACCTTAGTCACCCAATGTTTGTCTTTAACTTACTTTTATTTTTTATTTTATTGGACCAAAGCAATATACATTTGGTGTGTAGCTCAGTGGCAGAGCCACGCATGTGGCATGTGCCACGTCTTGGGTTCCATCCTCAGCCCCAAAACCAAATAAGCAAAAACCTACATATCTGAACTGGGGTGTGGCTCTGTGGTAGAGCGCTTGCCTAGTGTGCAGGAGATGCTGGGTTCCATCGCCAGAACCACAAACAAAACAAATCAAAACTCTACCACATATGTATCAGGATAAATCACATTATTTGTGAACTGCCTAAAATCCTATCATTTGTCCGATGAGACTTTGGGAACCTCTGATCTGGTCCAAGTCACCCTTTTTGCAGGTGAGAACCCTGGGGTCCCATAAACATTAGAGAACTATTTGTCTGGGCTGGCTTTGAACCTCTATCCTTCTGATCTCTGCCTCCTGAGTAGCTAGGATTACATGTGTGAGCTCCTGGCACCAGGCTCAAGGACACTTTTAAAAAATAAATTCCTTTCCTTAAATTCCTGCTCTCTGCCAACCTGGACTGCTTTCTGAAAGCTTTTAGAATTTTAAAAATTTAATGTAATTTTGCTGGGCAGTTGCTAGTGGCTCACGCCTATAATCTTAGCTACTGTGGAAGCAGAGATTAGGAGGATTGCAGTTTGAAGCCAACCCCAGGCAAATAGTTCTCGAGACCCTATCTCAAAAATACCCAAGACAGGACTGGTGAAATGGTTCAAGTGGTAGAGTTCCTGTCTAGCAAGTGTGAAATCCTAAGTTCAAACCCCAGTGCTGCCAAAAAAAATTTTTTTTAGTTTAATTTTATTCTTTGTTTTGTGGAACTGGGATTTGAACTGAGGGCTTTCCATTTGTAAAGTAGGCACTTTACTGCTTGAGCCACACCTGCAGTCCATTTTCCTCTGGTTATTTTTGAGATGGGGTCTTGAGAACTATTTGCCAGGGTGTCCTTGAACCAGGATCCTTCTGATCTCAGCTTCCCAAGTAGCTAGGATTACAGGCTTGAACTTCTGGTCCTTGACTTTATTTTATTTTATTTTTTTGAGCCAGGATCTTACTATGTATCCTCGGCTGGCCTAGAACTCTCAGTCCTCTTGCCTCAGTCTCCCAAATGCTGGGATTACAGGTGTAAACTATCACACCCAGCTCTAGAATACTCTTAAAATGTCAGTGGTCTCAAATATTCAGATGACATATGTTGGTGTGAATATGGAGTAATCCGTTGTGCTGTGCTGGGTGCTCAAGAGTTTTCAATCTAGAGAATGGGTCCTCAGTCTTTGGACAATTTTTTTCGTACTTTCAGTGCTGGGGATGGAACCCAGGGCCCAATATATGTTAGGTAAGTGCTCTACACTGAGTCACACTCCTAGCCCTCAATTTCATCATTTAATATTGCCAGTAAAATTGTTTTTCAGTACTGGGGTTTTTTGAACTAGCACCTACACCTTGATCCACTCCACCAGCCCTTTTTTTGTGATGGGTTTTTCTGAGATAGGGTCTCTCAAACTGTTTGCCTGGGTTGGCTTCAAACCTCAAACCTCCTGATCTCTGCCTCCTGAGTAGCTGGGATTACAGGTGTGGCACTGACATCTGGCAAATATTGGTAGTAAATTTTTAAAATTTCAGCTTTCTTCTTTTTCCATTTATCCATTTTTAGTTTAAATTTGGTACATAATCCTGCATATTTATGGAGTGTAGTGTGATGATTTGATACAGGTATGGACAATGTGAACTCCCATATTTTTAATTTCTGAGTGCTCTTTCTCACTCTGTATTTTCTCACTTTTTTTTTTTTTTTGCAGTACTGGGGTTTGAACTCAAGATTTCATGCTTGCTAGGCAGGTGCTCTGCCACTTGAGCCACTTTGACTGGCCTTTCCACATTTTTATTAGTATATATAATGCGGGGCTCATTGTGATATTTCCATATATATGCATATGATTTTTTTTTATCATATTTGCCCATTCTGTTATTTTTCTTACTCTCTTCCCTGCCTCCTCTTTGTGGCAATCTTTAAAAATAGAGTTCATGGGCTGGAGGTGTGGCTCAAATGAAAAGCGCCTTCTCTGCAAGCATGAATCCCTGAGTTCAAACCCTGTCCCACCAAAATAAATTAAAAAAAATATATATATACATATATATATACTTCTTTTGAGAATCGTTTTTTCAGTTCATTTGCCCATTTATTAATTGGATCACTCTGCTTTTACGTTTTAGTGTGTGTGCTTGGCAGTTACCTAGCTACACCACTGAGCTACACCACCAGCCCACAAAATTTAGAATTTTATTAACAATTATTTTTGTCTGCTATCTTGTGATCCTTTGCTTCCTGCTTATACTCAAATAAACTAAAATTTCAGTGTCTTTATTCCTGATCAGAGCTTGCTGTTTGAAAAGCTTCCTTGTAAAGAGACAAAATGGCCTGGCACCGGTGGCTCATGCCTATAATCCTAGTATAACTCAGGAGGCAGAGATCAGGAGGATCATGGTTCAAAGCCAGCCTGGGCAAATAGTTCGTGAGGCTCTATCTCAAAAAAAAAAAAAAAAAAAAATCACAAAATAAAGGGCTGGTGGAGTGGCTCAAGGTGGAGGCCCTGAGTTCTCGAAAAAAAGACAGAAGACAAAATGGTGATCCTCTGGGAGCCTTTTCTCTGGGGTTTCAGAGAAGAATCCTTCAATATCCTGCCCCCTGGTAATCTAAGAACAAAGGGGAGAAAGAAACATGTGCGTTGGACTTCATGTATTTCTCTAGGGTCCTGAGGACGGAATCCAGGGCCTTTGAGCATAGTTTGATCTTCAGATGTGTCGATTTTAATTTTCTCACTCTTCTTTTTCGTCCCTTGTCTCCATCTGAACTATTTCTCTTCCAGCATCCTAATGGCGGCAGGTGACCCATCTGGATGGCCAGCCCTGTTCTCCCTGGTTCTGGCTGTGGCAATATGCTTTGTCAGTGCCAACATATTTGTAGATGAAGAACGGAATCGGTTGATAGTGGGAGAGAAGTACATGCGCTTCGGGTCACTAGTGGTATTGACCAAACAAGAGAAGAAGGCTAATCGGAACCTCATGGCCATCAAAAAAGCTGAGATCAAGGAAGCCATGGAGACCCATCAGTTCCCACCCAGCATGCACTTCTTCCAGGCCAAGCGTCTCATTGAGGACAGCGAGGTGTTTCGGATCCTAAGGAAGATGCCGAAAGGTAAGGCTCAGAGAGGGGTGGTTTGGCGTGCTGGGAAGAGACAGGACACAAACATTGGAGTTCGTGATGTCCTGGGAGCTGTTGTCCTAAACAGAGCAGAGAGAACTCCTGCAGCTGCAGTGCCCTTTTCTGTGAACTAGGAAGAGGCATTCAGTGGCGGATGTTGGCTCACCCTGGAAATCCAAAGCCTTGCTTCCTGGGGACTGGGCCTCAGAGACAGTAGAATGGCCTTGTACATGATCCTGACAGCCCCTGGCCCAGCTGTCTAGGTCTCAGCCCCTTCATTTCCCCTTGTTCTTCTTCCCATTACAGGGGCTGCTTTACACATCCATGAATTCAGCATGGCCAGTGTAGAATGGCTGGTGAAAAATGTTACCTACAGGCCGCACTGCTATTTCTGTATCACTCCAAAGGGGCTCTTTCAATTCAAGTTTGCTGACCCAGCTCCCCAAAAGCTCAGGTCACGAGAATGCACAGAGTGGGTTTCCCTGGAGGATCATCGAAAGAAGTCAAATGCCTCTGTGTTTGACAAGAGGTGAGTGGGGTCCAGAAGCAGACCTATGCTAGGCAGTGCGTGGTGTGTGAGTGTGTTCTCCAGTGCAAACCCATGTGCGAAATTAGGGCCCCCAAAGAGATCAGGGGCTGGGGGGTGTTGCTCAGCGGTAAAGCACTTGCCTGGTAATCACAGGGTCCTGGGTTCCATCCCCAGCATGGCAATAACAGACCAAATCAAACCAAAATGAACAAAACCCAAAAAACCAGAAAGGAGAAACATTTTCCCTAGCAATTTGGTGGGGATAATCCAGATGGTGGATGAGACAGCTTGAACACCTGGTGGAGCGATTTCCTGTGAGATTTGTACAGTAGCGTAAGTGACAGTGACTATAATCGAGAATCTATAGTGTGCTTTCGTGAAATCAAAACCTAGAAGTGCCACAGGATTGTCAGCAGCCAAGGCCACAAAGCCACCAAACATCATGCCAGATATATGAACATGGGTCATGGGGTGCCATGTCCAGATCTGTCCCCACTGTACCCGCCTGAACAGGCTACCATAGCAAAATAGCACAGGCAGCAGAAACGTCTTGCCTCACCGTCTCTGGAGGCTGGAAGTCCAAGGTCAAAGTGCAGGCAGTGCTGTTTCTGCTGAGGCCTCTGTCCTAGGTGTGTAGATGGCCGCCTTCTCAATGTGTCCTTGCCTCTGTCTGTACACATCCCTGGTGTCTCTTCCTCTTCTTTAAGAGATCAGGGTCCACCCTACAACCTCATTTTACCTTAAATGTTACCTCCTTAAAAGGTCACAGTCACATTGAAGATTAGGGCTTCCACATGTGAATTTGGGGAGCAGGGACACAATTCAGCCCATAATGTCCCCAGCTTGGTCTAGGATGTGAGGGCAGTGGGGTCAGATTGACCATGCATGTGGAAGGACAGGAGAGCCTGTTTGGTATCATCCCCCTAAGCTGTCTTCTGGGGAGCGAAGTGTAGGCAGCCAGCTACCTGCTCACAGGACCCAGGCTGACGTCGGAGATGCTTCTCTTTGCCTCTCCCCTGTCTCTGCTCACTAGGAGCGTCCTGATTTGCTTCTGGGTGGGAGATGCAAGGCGGATAGGAATCCTGCATGTGCCTCATGCATGCTATGCAGGAGCACTACTGCTGATCTGCACCCCAGCCCTTAACACCCCATCTTTCCTATCTTTCTTTTTTCTTTATTCCCATCTTTGTTCTGTAGATTGCTAAGCATGTTCTCCATGGTGACCAAGAACCCCCACAGTATCTACCCCAACCAAGATGCTGTCCGGACGGAGTTTCAAAACATCCTCTTCTCCATGTCCGGTCTTGTCACTCACGCACCGGTGTTCAAAGACTACATCTTCCAGGGCCTGAAGGAATTCCACCAGGACAACGTGTTTTTCTTGGAGATCAGAACCAGGCTGTCCCCGGTGAGCCAGGTGCCCCACTTCCGCTTCCCCTCTCCTCTGCCCTGGCTTGACTTTCAGTTCTTATCTGGGAGTTGGGAAGGGGCGCACAGGATGGGACATTCATGTGTGTGACATGTGCCTTTCCAGGGGCCACCATGAGCAAGAAAGCCTGAAATGCCCATTTACTTCCCTTTCCTATGACTGTCCCTTCTTATCTCTGCCATGACCTTCAACACCTCCTGGCCTCTGAGCAGTGCCTCCTGTCTGGGTCTTTCTTGGCCTGCCCCTTTCATTTCCAGTTTTAGCACCCTGAGAAGCTTGGGACAGTTGGTGAGTCTGGTACACAGACCCACTGGCATGGGATGGGGGAATCCCTGTAGGGTTCCTTCTGTGGAGTGTGGCTGCATTTACCTGGGGTCGTCTGTGGGCCATACTGTCAGCACAGGAAAGCTTGTGGAGAGTGTACTCTGAATTCCCCACAGGTTCATGACAGTGACTTTTAGCAGAGCTCAGAGAATGGCGCCCATGAGGAAAAGGTGGAAGGGATGCATGGCTGGTTCTGGGCTGAAGGGCACTAGGCACAGGTTAGAAGAGCAGATGGAGAGAGACAGATGGGAGTTTTCGGGGTGGCTGCTAAGGGAGGAAGCAACCAGGAGTCTGGGAAGTGGAGGAGGGGGGCTGGTAAATAGGAGTTTAGGAGTCACAATAAAGAGATGAGTAATGGTGAAGGATGGAGAAAGAAGGGTTATTACACAGCACAGGCATGTTGGGAAGAGGCAAAGTAAGCACTCAGCCTATCTTTGGGGTACACACATGAGCTTTTGGGCAGGGGGAAGATATGCATAGTAATTATTAAACAGTCCTGGTCAAGTATGGCCTGGTTGATCATTACTGAGGCCTTTTAGAGAAGCTGTTATCACTGCCATCACTTGAGGGGAGCACTCTGGTCAGAATAAGCAAGTCTTTGCTGCCTGGCCATGGTCTGTCCTGTGGAGGCTTTGCTGTTTGTTTGGTGTTGGGGGGCGGGGGTGGCGGGAGAAGTCCCTTCCTTCCCTCTTGTAAAGACATTGATCAGCTCTGTCCTTCCTGGATTCTAAAGTGGCTTCAAGGTAGCTACAGAGAGAATGAATCAGAGCAAAGACTGATACAAAATGGAGGCAGGGATGCCAAGCTTTTCTCCTGCTTTTAGTTAATTTATGGGCCCAAGTAAGGAGTCCATGCTTTTCAGCAAAAGCAGTTGAAGTGTCTGCTATACATGGGGCCAGTATGCTCACTATGGTTCAGAAAATGGCGAGAGTTGGGGTGCAGGAGGATGCCTCCTTAAGTAAGCTGAGAAAGAGGGACCCTGGGATATCTAGTCCTAGGAAGAGAGCAGTGGTTTGCTTTTATTTTAAGGAAGGAAAGTTAAAGACAGTGAAGTTAGAGTCCAAAAGGAGGAGTGCTGTTTAAAAACATCAAAAATCACATGCCTAGCCAGCACTGGTAGCTCATGCCTGTAATCTTAGCTATTTAGGAGGCTGAGATCAGGATGACCATGGTTTGAGGCCAGCCCCGGCAAATAACCAAAGCAAAATGGACTGGAGGTGTGGTTCAAGTGGCAGAGTGCCTGCTTTGCAAGTGTAAAGCCCTGAGTTCAACTTCCTGTCACACCAAAAAAAAGAAAAGAAAGAAAAAAACAACATCACATGCCAGTGAGCCCAGCACAGAGGATGGTCAGTCCTTGGCCAGCCTGGGCTGCATATCAAGACCCTGCCTCAAGCAAAATTTGACTTTAGAGTCTGGCATTTTGGGTTTAGATGTCAGGTGTCTGGGATGGGCTTTGTTAGTGGCACTGAGACCAGAAAACTTCCAAATTCTTTGTGTCCCACCAGGAAGAATCAATGGCAGGACCCATGGGTGTAAATGGAGTTTATTAAAAGTTAGGAAAGGGAAATACAAAGGGGAACAGGGTTCGGCCCAGGTGGAGTCTGGAGGCTGAGAGCACGTGCTTCTCTTCTCCAGGTGCTTTTAAAATTTACACTAATCTAGGGCAAGGGAGGAATCAGGTGATTCCCATCCAGTAGCCAATGAGTGGGGAGGGGCATGGGTGGTTCCAGGGAAGGTGAGAGCAATCCGAGATATCCCAGGGCCACTTACACACACATATAATATTAAGTCATATTTTTTTTATGAGTCCCCAATTTTCCCGAATTCTAGCCTGCTTCAGGATGACTAAGCTTAGATTTATGAGTGTGTGTTTGAGAACCCCAGGTAATCAAACGTCCCTGGGGTTCTTTTGGTAAGTCTAGTGAAGAGATCTTTCATGGAGACTTTTCTGGGGAAGGGATGGAGACCATGGAATGGGTAGGGTTCCTGAATGTGCCATTTGGTAAGTCTCACCCCGCTTTGAGCTAGTTAAAGGTTCTCAGTGGCTTTGGGAAAGTGAGCTGGATAGAGTCTTCTCTACATTGTATCAAACTCAATTAACGCCTGTAATCTTAGCTAATAGGACAAATAGCTCCCAGGATCCTATCTTGAAAATATCCAACACACACACACACACACACACACACACACACACACACACA